ATGGGTCAGTCTAGCACTCATTACGGCGAATTTTTAAAGTGAAAGCTGTGAAGAAAGTAACGATAGAACCCTTCATATGACATAAAGTGATGAGACTACTGATCGAAGGGAATCATAGGCTGAAAATGAACGTGCAGTGGTCTCAAAATAATTTTGATAATAAATCCGTCCCAAATATAAGACTTATTTTATATTGTTATATTACAAAATAGATATTATGTTTAGCATTAGAGGAGTATTAGGTAGTAACAAACATGACGTGCACCACATTATTCACGACTATTGTGTAATTACAGCGGTAATTAACCCGTCATATTATCAATAATATTGATTGGAAACCGACCTATTTGTGCTCTATAAATAAAAGCTCATCAAGGGCTCTCTCAGAACACACAAGAACTTAATTGTCACTTCACAGAGACAAAAATGAAGAATGAGTTCTCTTGGTGTTTCAGTGGCAGCTCAGTGTTGTGCATTATTATTGGTGGTGCTGGCAGGAACAACAATATCAGTTTCGTACGGCCAGTTAGATGCTTCGTTTTACAAAGACACATGCCCTACGGTGCATGAGATAGTACGAGAGGTTGTTCACGATGCTTCCAGAACTGATCCTCGTATTACTGCCAGTCTCATCAGGCTTCACTTCCACGATTGCTTCGTCCAAGTATATATCTAGTTCTTCGTCTCCTGCATATACTATTCTCTAATTATATATATCGCGTTTATTTATTTGATGGGTGCGTGATGAATACTTAAAGCTGAATCTAGTACTTTTCTTTGTCGTTGTGTTGACTTGTCCTCGTGTTTCTGAACTTGTATCTGTTATATAACTGCCTAGTGTACCGAGAAAAGGAAAACACACAATATTGTATTGTAATATTAAAGCTGAAAAGTGCCTAGATCAAACTGTAATTTATAATATGAAAGTGGAAAGTGAAAGCTTCGACAAATTAATAAGTGATCAGGCAGGGTTGCGATGCATCAATATTATTGAACAAGACTGATACAATAGACAGCGAGCAAAAAGCTTTTCCAAATGCGAATTCAATCAGAGGATTGGATGTTGTGAACAACAGCAAGTCTGCGGTGGAAGCAGCTTGCCCCGCCACCGTGTCTTGTGCTGATATTCTCGCCCTTGCTGCAGAAATCTCTGTTATCTTGGTACTTTCTTCTTCCATATACTATGTCCGGTCTTTAATATAATAATTAGTTGACTAATTTGAATAAATTAAAAAAATTAGTTAAGCTAGTTATTTGTAATTAACATGTATTGCTTTTTCTAATGTATCTTGCTAAAGTGTATTGACTAGAACTATTATTATTACAAAAACTACTTTAGAAAAAAATAGATAAATATGAGAGAAATAATGAATTGGAGTCTTACATTTAGAATTAAAATAAAAGTCAAACAAATTCTTATATTAAAGACCGGAGCAACATATATACAATTCAACCATACTCTCATACGTACGCCCCTCATCAATCTTTTGTGTGTGTGGAAAGAGTTGGGGTTGATCAAATACATTTTTTGCAATGAATTAAGATATCAAAATTCATTCATTTTATATGGAGTCTAATAATAAAAAGTGAAAAAAACATTTGGAAAGAGCTTCAAAATTGAGGGGCAAGTGGCACCCCCAACCAACCCATGTGGAAACCAACTTTTAAAACCCACCAAACCCAAACGTAAACTCTTATCGAGAAAGAAAATTAATGAAGAGGACGGAATATTTATTTTTATTTAGATGCAATAGTAAATAAAAGCAAATGTGGTAGGACATGAAAACACGTAGGGGCGCGTTGATTGGGAAATACGTTTGGTGAAATATGCAAAGTAAAAGTGGACAATGACAGGCTAAAGGAAAAGGCTGGAAAGAGAGCTGGGAAGAAGGGACAGCACCAACGCCAATCGGACACTCGCAAATCTGAACCTTCCAGCTGGTCCCTCCCTCTCTTTGGATCAGCTTAAATCCGGCTATGCGGCTCAGGGCCTCGATCCTACTGATCTTGTTGCTCTCTCTGGTATCTCTCTTTCTCATCTTATACTAGTATTATCTTTCTGCCCCCAAAAGACTAATGGCCATCCCTTTTGTCAACTAGAAGTGACTAAACAAATAATTCTTTTCATGAGTATATATAGATCATATCATAAGTGACAGATTGAATCATTAATTACGAAGTCTGATGATATTGGACTTGTGTACTTTCAGGTGCTCACACATTCGGAAGAGCACATTGCATCACATTTAAGGATATATAGGTTATATAATTTCAGTGGCACAGGCCAACCTGATCCAAGTCTCAACTCAACTTACCTTCAGAAACCGCGACTCGTGTGTCCTCTCAACGGAGATGGCACCAACATAACCAATCTTGACCTCACCACTCCAAACACGTTCGACAATAAATATTACATCAACCTTCAACTTCACAATGGCCTCCTTAACAGTGATCAAGAGTTGTTCTCCACTTCTGGTGCAGATACCATCGCCATTGTCGATAGTTTCGCCGCCAGCCAGTCCCTTTTCTTCACTCAGTTCGCAGCTTCCATGATCAAAATGGGCAATATCAGCCCCTTGACTGGCTCTCAAGGTGAAATTCGATCTCACTGTAATTTTGTCAACTCAGATTCCTCTCGATTCATTACTGCCGTCACTCCCACTAAAGAGTCTGATGAACCTGTTCTCGTCAGCTCAATCTGAATAAGTTGATGATCGATTTTAGGCGTGTGCATGCCATTTGCCTGTGTACTGTGTTTTGTGGTCATATTCCAGTGGTAGTAAGTAATAATAAGCTGAATGTGTGTGTTTTACCATATATCTATTTGACGGCTCTGATTTTGCCACTTTTCTACGTGTATTTATTAGTGAAAAGATAAAGGGTAACATAACATCTAACACGATGCACCAAGTATCATAATCCTATTTATAGCACATTTGGCATTCTGGTGTTATTTTTCAGGTGTATCTATCATTTCTTTATGTTATTTTTTTGGTTACATCTAGTATCGTAATCTTATTTATGGTGTAAGAGTGGGATGTACAATAAATAAGATTAGATTGTTGAAAGCACCAAAAAAATAAAATTAGGATATTGGAGGGGCACTGGACGAACCTAAAACATTAAACTAATGGATGCTATTTTACTCAAATAAATCCTGTACTCTTGCCTTTTTCTTTTTTTTTTAATCTCCTCGGATCGGCTTCCCAGGGAAATCATATGATGAGGCAAATTTTACTAAAATAACAATTATGTTGTTTATCATCATTTTATTGCACGTAATAAGGCCATAATCTTCTGACAAAAAAATAAAAATAAAGCGATAATCTAGTTTTGGGATTATAGACTGAACAAATATTTTAAAATTTAATTGTTGATCTTTGGGCTCTCACCACTTGTATTAATATTCAAGCGTAGCCCATGTTTTGGACAAGATAAAAAAATTATGTATGATATAGCAGGAGTATAAATTCTCTAAAGTTGAGCATCATATAATTATAAATTATCTGAAATTTATTGTTCTAAGCACTTTTATTTTTTTAAAAAAACAGCCTTTATTAGATTATTGCAGCATTTTCTCATTTACATGTTTTTTTGTCAACGCTTATTTAAATGTAATTAAGTTTATACAAAGCTAGCATCGACCGGCACCTTGATGATTGATTTGCCATTAATATTGGGCCATATCGTCTAACCGATGTGTGTGTGTGTGTGTGTGTGCTAGTTTCCACCTCAAACCCAAAAAAAGAAAAAAGAAAAGAAAGGCAAACTTATCCAATTTTTCAATAGGCTGAACTGTCAACTTTGTTCTTTGTACACGGAAACAATGTCCTCTGCTAATTCACATCCTAATTAATGCAAGAACGTGACATGTTATAAGATAGAGTACTTCTTAGTTAATGATGTTCCAAGACTAAATTTATTCATCAAGATATTTATTTTTTTCCTCAGATAAGGCAGCTAGCATTTAATGTGTACTGAATTTTTCTTGTTGGACAGCAGCGTTTTAATTTCTGTGGACGTGTTGTTGAACGTTGAGAGTCTGAAAAGGTCCACTCCGCAAATCACGGACTAAACATAAAACGGAGCCGAAACTGTTGAATTGTATTGTACAATATACTCGTATCTATATTTTATTAAACGTTCAAGAAGAGACCAGAGTTCACAAATCATTGTTATGATTATTTAATTCCCTTAAAAGAGGTCGTTGATTTGTAAGTATATCGCAACTGCCATAGGAATAATCAAACTAAGTAATTGTGCGAGCGAGAGGAGTTTTGGCCTTGTTTGTTTTGAAAACAGTTTTAACTAATACTCCCTTCAATCTTATTTATAATTTACAATTTTTGGGATAGAGCTTATCTTTTTTGTAACAAGTTACACTTTGTACATGTCTAAAATTTTTATTTTTCGATAAATAATGATATATTTGGAAAAGAAAAATATATTTTTTACACATTTATTGTATTTTACCAATTTGTCTATATAAAATTTTATGAGTTTTTATTTACCATGCATATATGTTAACGTTTAGACATGAGATTTCTGTTCTCCAACACATATTTTGCACGAAGTTTTAAACAAATTGCGTTTTGCAGGGGAAAAAGAAGTCTTTAACCATTATTTTATCAGTCGTGACGGTATTTTTTACATTATTTTTTCCACTCACCTATTCATTGACTTACCGTATTCTATAGGATTTCCACTTCGTTTGAACTTTGAAATCGTAGATCCTTTAACTATGCAAGAGTCGAGAACAGTTAAACCTTGAGATTGACAAATTATTCATCCACAATCCCATCATCAACCGAATTATGACCATGGCGAATTTTTCGCTTCCAAATCATCCTTAAAAAAGATGGTGCAATTATAAGGCTTTGACTTTTCTTCTTCTGCATGAAACTATTGTCGTTTAGCCTGTAACTGGAAATGTTCAAACCCATGCACTGGCTGTTTGAAATTTCAAGCCCTCCTACAAAATAAGAAAGATTCTCTTTTGCTGTCAACCACCACCTCACAGCCCGCCACTACCTTGGACGTTGTTCCATGCATCTATAAAACCAGTTCTTCATCAGCTTTTTCTCTCAAACTCATCCATCCTCACAGCAAGCTTCAGAATTTTCGCTTCATTTAAGAGTTAAGAAAAATGTCATCCTTTCGGATTTCATTGTTGAGCCTTTGTTTGGTTGCTACTATTTTTGGAGCTTCAAATGCTCAGTTGAGTTCTTCATTCTATGCTACCACTTGCCCTAATGCTTCATCCATTGTACGTGGCGTCATTGAGCAGGCTGCTCAAAGTGACGTCAGAATCGGAGCCAAACTCATCCGCCTTCACTTCCATGATTGCTTTGTTGATGTGAGTTTATATAGACACATATATATTGCTTGATATTAAATATGTATACTTTCAAACTGATATGTTATTGTGTGTTTCATTTGATGAAGGGCTGTGACGGATCGATATTGTTGGACGATGCCAATGGAATCTTATCAGAAAAGGACGCGATTCCCAACAGAAATTCAGCAGATGGATATCCTGTGGTTGACGATATTAAAACAGCTTTGGAGAATGTCTGTCCCGGAGTCGTCTCTTGTGCTGATATTCTAGCCATTGCTGCAGAAGCATCGGTTTCCTTGGTATTAAAGCTTTAAACTTGCAAATATGAATGAATTATATAATTGAGAGACGAAACTGTTATATATACATATATAATGAACTTAGACCTGATATATATAACATGCATGTTAATTATAATTAATATACAGGGTGGAGGTCCAACATGGACAGTTGAATTGGGAAGAAGAGACAGTACAACAGCAAATCAGGCCGCAGCTCAGCTTCTTCCAGGCCCTAGAGATGGCCTCGCCAATATCACTTCCAAGTTTTCTGCTGTGGGACTCGATACCACTGACGTTGTTGCTCTATCGGGTAATTTTCACACATCTAATATTAAAATAGTGAAATTAAACTAGCTAGCTTGTGTCTTATTAGGGTATTAAGTAATTATAATCCGAAGCTTTTTGACTGATTTGTCAGGTGCACATACGTTTGGGAGGGCAAGGTGTGTGCTATTCCGTGATCGTTTATTTAACTTTGAGAATAGTAACAGTTCAGATCCGTCTCTGGACTCTACTTATCTGGAAACACTTCGTCAGGCATGTCCTCAAAACGATGGTACCTTAAACAACCTAGATCCCACGACTCCCGATAGCTTTGACAACAACTATTTCACGAACCTTCAAAGTGGACGAGGTCTTCTCCAATCCGATCAAGAATTGTTCTCCACCGCCGGATCCGACACCGTCGCCATCGTCAATAGGTTTGCCGCTAGTCAAAGCGAGTTCTTTACTAGCTTTGCTCAGTCCATGATCAATATGGGCAAGATTAGTCCCTTGACAGGAAGCAATGGGCAGATCAGGACTAACTGCAGGAGGGTTAGTTAAACTTGAAATGAATTTATTCATGATAAGTTATGAGATTACTCCATTGTTTTTAATTTTTGAATTTCTTATAAGTTGATTCCACAAATGTACTTAGAAATTTGGAAAACTTGTTCAAGCTGAATAAAAGCAGAGAAGACAATATCTCTGCTGATTTAATTTAAATTCTATTGGGTTTGTAGAATTCTGTACCAGGGTCAAAGTTGATGTAATTGTTGAAGAAGGAATTGTCGTTGCATGAAATATATATTAGTTACGTTGATAAGGGAGTTTTTGTATGAGTACTTTGTGTGAATACGCAGTGTCAAGTTTTAAATTGGATCGAATCATTAGTGGTTAATGGATTTGAACAAGTAATGAATCTATAATATTTTAAGGGGTTAAGGTACAAATTTGTGGCAAGAAAATTTCACCTGGGAACAATGTTGTCCCCAAAATTCAAGATTGCTAAGGAAATGTTAAAATTGAGCCATATTAGCCCTTATCATAAAGATGTTAACTATCAACATCGATCATGTAGCAAAATAGGAAGTAAATGACTTGGGTAAGTGACGTGGCAGCATCCTTGCTGTTGGTGAAATGAAGGACTTGGATTGATTAGGTTGATAGGAAAATTAAGAGAAAATGACTTGCGATGAGATGTCCACTTGCTTCCCCTTGATTAGTTTAGAGCAATAATATACAGATAAGGGTGGTGGGAGTGGCAGAGTTGCACTTTGTGCGTTGGATAGGACACATTGCTTTCGTTTTAAAGCAATTTGACCCACTAACTTGTACTAAGTTATCCAAACTAGCTGGGACTCTTTTTTACTGATTGAAATTTAGGTTTGAGTTGAAATAATTTATTGCTTGTTTGGATAAATTTATTTTTATTCAAACACGTGCTGCTTTATAGTCTGACCCACGTTAACTCACAAGCTACGCTACACTTTGATACTGGATTACTCCTTGTTTAAGTAAATGCGCATTTAAAACTTTGACATACCCGTTTGTCCTCCATGCTAATGCTCTGCTAAAATCCTTTATTTCTTCTTTCTGCCTCCTATTAGCTTTGCCCATGTGTGCGTTTAGTTTTAACTTGTGCAACTGAACTCATAAATATGCCATGTATAGATATTTTTTCATTTCTGTTTTTTTTATCAAGCCTTTTTATTTTTTAATTTAGTCTCCGAATTTTTTCATTGTTAAAATCCCTTTTTTTAATCTCTTTTAGATTTAGTCTCTAAATTTTGACTCAGTCCAATTTAATCCTTGTAAGTACTTAAGTTAAATAAAGACTTGGTTGTTTTAAATCAATATAAATTACAAGAATTAAGTTGTATGGAGTTAAAGTTCATAAAGCTAAGTATTCAAACATTACACTTGAATAATTAATTCTCATCTAAACTCCAATTTGCAAACATAATTTGACAAACGTACGAACCCAGGCAAATGTTAATTAATTATCTCTTACGTGGGATTAATATCAATCAAATTCAAGTACAGAACAAAAAATTAAAACCACACGGTAGAAGTATATAATTGTATATCTCTGGTCTTTAATATAAGATTTAGTTTGATTTTTAATTTGATTCTAAATATAAAATTTTTATCCACTTTGTTTCCAATATTTATCTATTTTTTTCTTAAATAATTCCTATAGTAGTTAATATGTTAAAGAGTTACTGTCAATTTGTAATTCAAACACACATAATTAATATAAAGACATTTTAAAAAAGACAACAACTATTTATTATAAATAACTAACTCAACTAATTTTTTTAATCTCCTCAAATTAATCAATTAGATCTTATATTAAGGCCCAGAGGTACTACTATGAAGTACTATCACTTTAATTAATTATGTGAGCGTCTTCTCCATTATAAATAAGTTAAAGTGTTCTAGATGATATTGTACGTGTAAGCTAAAGTCGTGTTGTTGGGGTCATATGTGTGACGAACACGCGACATCTCCCCTCAATATTAGTCCACAAATAAGCCGACAAACAGGCCAGGAGAAAAACAAAAAGCAGTAGGTTTGTTCATATATATCTGTGCTTCCTACTTTTGAATTTCCACAGTCAATAATATTGGCTGTATCAATATAAAAATTTCAATATTAATATTAATTTCAAATTTTTATTGGCCATAAAAATCTTTACAAACTTTTCGGTAGGCCAGAGTTCACTTGAGTGGATTGCAATTATTTGTAGTAGTAATATATAATTAACTTTAAAAAGGACTTACACTTTACATATAAAAAGTCCAATACTTGAATTGGAAGTTTAGAACTTGAGAGACAAAATCTTGGTAGGTATGCTAATAAAGATTGCTTTTATTAACAAAACCATATAATATATGTATGAATTGAACAATCAACGCGATCCCTAGAGCTAGCATGCAGCCAGACTAGATACAAACATATAACTTAAAATTCAAGAAAATTAGTTAATATTATATCGATCTTTAATATAAGAACTAGTTTAAATTTCAATTTGGTCATAAATATAAGACCCAATCCACTTTGTCTTTCATATTTATCTATTTTTTCTACAGTAATCCTTGTAATAGTGCATTTATTAAAAGTTTCATCAAATGGCAGTTCTTACTAATACACAAGATTAATAAAGGTATTTTAAAAAAGATAGTACTTATTTATTATAAATAATTAACTTAACTAATTTTTTTAATATAATCAAATTAGTTAACTAACTCTTATATTAAGTACGGTAATATTGTTTAAGCTTAAATGTCATGATCACCAATGCAACAAATGTGGCGATATAGCTGCAGTAATGGTCCTTGTCTCATTGCATAGTGCTGAATAAGTGTTAATTCATTGACAAAAGATGTGAACGTACGTGTGGAAGTGTGCCTCTTAATTCAACTAAAGATCATAAAAGAGAAATAAAAAAGAATAATGACATCGATGTATCACCCAAATTTGGTCGAAAAGAAAATATGGATCACCCAGAGAAAATAAACAATTAGGTGTGGACTATAAATTTGTGAAATGTCTGAGAAGGATTAAGATTGAAAATTAAAATTAATAGACATTTATGAGCTGAAATAGTTGTTAATTAATAACACAGTTCAATTGCAAACTCAGAAATGCTTGGTTGCAAGTCTCAAAAACTTTGCTGTAAAATGTCAATATTGGGTAATTAGTTGCAGATGGACCATAAATCGTATAAATTTTGCAAATTACATAAGCTTAATTATCAAAGTCGGAAGACTAATTGGAAATAAGTCGGAAGACTAATTGGAAATAAGTCATAAATTATAAATTATAAATAAGTCATAAATAAGTCATAAATCGTATAAATTTTGCAAATTTTGCAAATTACATAAGCTTAACTAACTCTTTTATAATTTACATTTGATTCGAGACTAATCTTTAATTTTAAAATTTACAACTAAATTATTATGTTGCCGATCAAATTTATGATTTTTTAAATAACATTTATTTCTTTTAGTGGTTTTATATGTGTCATTTTCACAAAGGTAAAGCAACTTGATGTTTGTGGAAAAAAAATGAAACAATTCAAGCTTATTACAAATTCTACTAGTATTTTAAGTCTCATCAATAGATGGTATTGCCTTTTTGACTGGGAAAAAAAAACATATTTTTATATTGAATAAAATCTAATGACTCCCAGATTAAACCACTCCCAGCAACGCACCGCCTCATGGATATCATTATTTATTATCTAGGTAACCGAGTTGTATCAGCATTAATCACCTTCAAAACAAATACATTAATTAATCACCTTCAAAACAAATACATTAACCGGTCCAAAACAACCACGATGTGTATCCGATGATCTAAGTAGCAAATTAAAACTAAACGAGCTTCATACATTATAAGATGGGATTAATATGCTTAACTTGTTTAATTTGTGTTGATTTTTTTATTTGTTCTTTAATTTAAAGGAAAACAATAACGATGTATTGCCTCGGATACTTAATGCAGGAGCAAGTTGAAGGATTATATTTAATTATAAACATAAGACCCTAATATATTTTATCACTTCTATTTATTTTTTAAAATTAATTTTTCTAACTTATAAAAGGGCACTTTAGAAAAATTATGCCTGTTACAATTAAATAATTTACTTGTTATCAACAAACTGTAAATTAAGATGGTAAGCATTTTCACCCGTAAAGAGAAAAATACAAATTGGAATCTCAAAAAGTATATTTGTTAAGAGAGTTTTAACTTAACACTCCTGATCCAATAAAGATTAGTTTCAAATTTAAAATTATCTGGGAAAACTCTGACTTTACACCAAAAAAGTAATTTACTTGATTTCATTAATTCACACAAATAAAGAGTAATAGTATAAGTGATATCAAATCAGTCAATTCCCATTTAGGGGGGAAAAAACTTCATGATGATATTAAGTTGTTACATGACTATTGTCTTGACATTTTAATTTATATGGTTTCTTCAGAGCTTTCTCAATCACTGTCATATTCATAACATAATATTAATATCGAATATCTAAGTCATCCACACGTTTCCGGATTTGCAGCCAGTAAGAAATTTTGTATGAACCCGTAAGATGTAAGCTGTAGCCTTGTAGGGCCAGAAAAGTCAGCAGTTTGGTGGTTCATCGTCCCTCAATAATTTGAATTTACTTATTTGACCTCATTTTGATAATAATCTAAAATATTTGTCAACTTCCATGATGCAAATATTATTCTTCGAAATAGAGTGAGATTAATTAACAACACAGTGAATCAGAGTAAATATACAGTAGTAAGATTTGCTTCTTCTCTTGTTACCCAGTCTTTCTTGCTTTATTGAGTACCTTTCCCTTTATTACTTAATTGCCTAATGAACATATGGACCCCTACATATTTATCCATATTCATAATTAAAATTAGACTTCAAGATGATATTGATGCCGTATGCGGTGGATATTCTCCTCTTGTGAGGCCACAGTTCACAGAAGGAAACAAGTCTAGAAATTTATTTAATTAATTCGTCTTCATATATTTATACTTTGAAAAAAAAAATTTAACCTCCCTCTAAACCAAATGATTTAACCATCTTAAAATTATATAGAAGCTAAATATTTAAAATTAACTGATAATTAAATAAATTTTTTTCCGTTGTCAACTCAAGTAAAATTTCGTATGCTTCCAAGAACATTTTATGGAATTATAAAAAAAGCTGATGACTACTGACACTTGATATGACGTGGGATGATAATTTGATGAAGTAAATTGCCCTTACCTCCACCTTTCAATATTTGAAGCTTGATCGCCCCAATACCCCTCTTGTTGCGCAATACGCACGGCGAGTAGCACTATATATATATATAGCATATTTTATTTCATTTAAGAAGCCAAGAAAAAAGTGGTTCTTTTTATTATATAGACATATATATATATATATATATATTAGCAGGCTTGAATTTTTTTTATCTCTATAATTTTTTATTTTATTACAATATATAGTTGTGTGTTTGCTTAAAAAAAATATTACGTTATTTTAGGGGCTTTACGCTCCCAAAAAAAAGCTGAAGCAATATGAAAAAAAAAAAACATGGAGAGATGTCTACTAGCCTGAATGCATGCCTAATGAGCCAACTAAAATAAATCAGCTGATTTTTTTAAAAAAATTAAAAATAATATTTCTAGAATTCTCTAAATTTCTTTAACTGTATTTTTCTATTTGAGAAAAGTAAGCAAAATTTACCTTTAAAAATTTAATGTGTCAATTATCATACCTATATATGTGTAAAAAAATTATAATAAATTATACTATTAAGAAACAATATGATTTGTTTTTAAATTATTTTGGAAGAAAAATATCAAGCGTTGTTTTATGACTTTTCCTTCTAGAAAAGATTCTTAAAATCATGCTTTGGATCTGTTTTAAATATTACACAATAAAACATAATATGGGTCAGTCTAGCACGCATCACGGTGATTTTTTTAAAGTGAACATTGGAAAGAAAGTAATAATAGTACGCTGGAAACAATATATATTGATAAATTATTGCCCAAAAGGAAGTATAGACTGAAAATGAACGTGCAATTATCGTTAAAGAAGCCTCTATTCAGTGTTCATCAATGTTTTAATTCACAAGTTGATACAAAAGGATGGAATAAAGTAAAGCTTACTCTATTCAAGACCATGTCCTTCGTTGGATTGACCCAATCATCCCTCAAACTAATTATAATTATATATTTTTACAAGGGGGAAAAAACATACATCTTGGTTCTCTCAGAATATCCTATATGTTTACCACAGGTATTTGATTAAAAACCTAATACAAGATATCAAAATTATAAACTGCGATACAAATTTGTATTGTTCGACACAATTGAAGGATTCTTAAAATCACAAAATTAGGAAAAAGAATTGAACACGCCTCTTAGCATTCAGGTCAAAATTAGCATATGGGGACTATTATATATGACGAATCTGAGCAAATAAAGAGTATAAGTCTTGGGACGAAAATAATAATTATAAGAAAAAGAATGGAAACTAACCATTTTTTAATTATTAACAGTTAAAAAAATCACTTTATTCTCAACTAAACCCCCTGTGCTGCCTATATCTGGCCACCCAGTCCCATTATAGATTGATGACCATAAATAATTAAATATAAGGCATGGATTTGTCATTTTCATGGGGACCACAATATTACCTTAGTAATTAACCCATCACCAAGATTATCAATATCCTGATGCCAAACCGACCCAATTTGTCGTCTATAAATAAACGCTCACTAAGAGCTCCCAGAACACACAAGAAATTAAGCCTCTCAGTTCATAGAGAGAAAAGAAGCCAAGTATGAGTTCTCTTCGTGTCTCAGTGGCAGCTCTATGCTGTGCATTGGTAGTGTTCGCAGGAACAATAATATCAGTTTCATATGGTCAGTTAGATCCTTCGTTTTACAAAAGCACATGTCCAAACGTGCATGCGATTGTAAGAGAGGTTGTTCATAATGCTTCAAGATCTGATCCTCGTGTTGGTGCCAGTCTCATCAGGCTTCACTTCCATGATTGCTTTGTCCAAGTACATGCTAGCTTCTTCTTCTTCTTCATCTCCTTTAATTCACTTTCTCCATATGCTCTCTTCTAATGGATACTTAGTTTAAACTTGATGAATCTAAAACTTATCGTTGTCGTGATGAACGCCGTATGAATTACAGGCATTATTTGGAGAGTAAAGTTGTTTTGGTGGTATGGATGTTGATCACCCAATTTTTAAACTTTTCTGTTATATGTGATTATTTTTTATGATGGCGATGGTGAGAACTCTTAAGTAGACTTGATTATTATGACAAAAATTAAAGTGCTTCCATTTTAGTCAATTTTTATTTGTTTTGAGCTTAGTCTGTATGAAAAAAGCCATTGATAAATTAAATATACTTTGTCCAGGCCAAGATCATAATCTCGATATTGCAAGATCATGCTTTAATGCAGCAGGAACAACTGCACTGTAGTGTACTGAGAAAAAGAAAACAATATTTTAATAAAGCTGAGATATGCATAGATCTAACAAATTAGATTATTAAAATGGAAAGGATGGGTAATAGTGAAGTGTTGGATGTATCATCCGAATTTCTGTGAACTTTCATATCTTACTTTTAAGGGTCTGTTTGGGTAACCCTCAAAACCATGATTTGGGAGGCAAAACCATGGTTTTGATGAGATGTCACACAAACAGCATCAATTTTGGGCCAATAATCTGAAACCATGGTTTGAGCCTAAACTATGGTTTTGGAATAATCCAAAACCATGGTTTCAGGAGAAGTGAATTCATTCTGCTTCTGACTCAAATTAGAGAGATGATTGTAGCTGTCAAAGTAGATCTCAACAATAATATGACTTTAACATTTCTCAATTATTTTTTTATAAACATATTTAACCTTATATCTTATAAACATATATACACATATTAATTATTTATTAATTACATTATCTTATGTATTATTAATTATGTTGGTAAAAAATATATTATTAACAATTTTATTCCTTCAAATTAAAATATATCATAAAATTTATCTTTTATATAATTATCATATTAACTTATGTTTTTTTTAGTAATTTGTATATATAAAAAGTACTTCTGATAACAACTATCCAAACACTCTCATTTCTCAGAATCATTTTTTTATAAAATCATTCTTCACAGAATCTATTCTTCCCAAAATCTATTCTCCAAAAAACTATTCTCCAAATCATGGTTTGGTTTCATCCAAACACACCCTAAGTCTTCTCTTGACGTCTCTTCACGCTCAGTGGAAGTTTCAATAAAAGTGGTTGGTGGGTTATGTCTTCCTTGGAGACCTTGATAAGTGTTTGTGAGGAAAATTATGTGTTCATTGATAGATATGTCAACGGGCTATTAACTAGTCCTGACTTTTGAAATAAAAGGAACAAAATTTTTTTTTTTAAAAAAAGATCTCAAACCATTTAATGAAACATATTAGTTGAAAATTGTGAAGAGAAAGAATATATTTTATTAATCTTAAATGGATGAGTATGAAATTGATCAAGGGAAAACATATATAGTTGAAATCAATCAAATATATGGACGGCTTGTCTAAAGCTAGTAAACGAAAAGCAGTAACGATCAGAATATGTATGCCGAGTGAATTGATTTTTTTTTTTCCATTACTGTAAAGTTGATATTAAATATATGACCTGTGGGTGTAGGGTTGTGATGCATCAATATTATTGAACAAGACAGACACAATAGACAGCGAGCAAGATGCTTTTCCAAATGTTGACTCAATCAGACGATTGGATGTCGTCAACAACATCAAATCTGCGGTGGAAGCAGCTTGTCCGGCCACCGTGTCTTGTGCTGATATTCTCGCCCTTGCTGCAGAAATCTCTGTTGTTTTGGTACTATGCTCCTCCTCTCCATCTTATTCTCTCACCTATATATACGTACAATTAAACCATACCCTTTTTATAAAGAGAAAAGCCAGAGAGAACCAACCCATTTATGTGAACTCCAATTCATACCAATCTGTCACCTTTAATTTCGGTCCCTCTCATTAATTCTTAGATCGTGGTTCCATCCCATTGATGGAAAAAGGACAAGCCCGTATGAATTGGCTTTTAATATGGAGGCAAGTAAATTGGTGTGGTTGTTGATATATAATAACTCAGTAATGGATGTGTCAATTATTGGCATATTTTATGTGTTAGGGTTAGGGGTGCATGCACTGCACTTAGGTGCCTAGTTGTGCATAAATTGGAAGTGAGGAAAAGTGGAAGTTGTCGGCCATGATTGAGAAACCTCAAGGAAAGCTCGATGTGTTTCTTTTTTTTTTTTTTTATGGATGGAGTTTTCCAAGTTTCCTTTTTTTTTTACTCGAAAAAAGGTAGTAAAAGTGATGAGTATAATGAATAATATCTAACACAGGATGATGGAAACGGTTGGAAAGTTCCACTGGGACGAAGGGACAGCACAACAGCGAACCGAACGTTGGCAAATACGAACCTTCCAGGTCCCCGCCTCTCTTTGGATGAACTCAAAGCATCCTTCGCTGTTCAGGGCCTCAACACCACTGATCTCGTTGCCCTCTCTGGTACTTAGTTAATCTTACAGAAGTCAGTTTAAATTACTGTGTTTCAAATGTGGCAGGATTAAGTTTTATGATACTTGTGGGCTTTGATCATCACTTTCAGGTGCTCACACGTTCGGAAGAGCACACTGCAGAAATTTTCAGGACAGATTATACAATTTCAGTTCCACAGGCCAACCCGATCCAAATCTCAACACAACCTACCTTTCATCCCTGCGACTCATATGCCCTCCAAATGGAACCGGCGGCTCCAACTTGACCAATCTCGACTTTACCACTCCTAACACGTTCGACAAGAACTATTACACCAACCTCCAAGTTCACAAGGGCCTTCTTAACAGTGACCAAGTCTTGTTCTCCACTTCTGGTGCAGACACTATTGCCATTGTCAATAGCTTTGCCAGTAACCAGTCCGTTTTCTTCACTCAGTTCGCAGCTTCCATGATCAAAATGGGAAATATCAGCCCTTTGACTGGCTCTCAAGGTGAAATTCGATCTCAGTGTAACTTTGTGAACTCAGATTCCGCTCGCTTAAGCGCTGTGGCTTCCACCAAAGAATCTGATCGTGATGTTCTAGTCAGCTCAATCTGAAGGAGTTGATCGATCGATGGGTCGATTTAGTGATCTGTGTAGGAGTGTGCGTGCCATGTACCTGTGTCCCGTGTTAAGTGGTCATAATAACTTTTGTATTATGCCACTGGTAATAATAATGACATCTGTGTTTCTTATATCTGTGGTTTTGTCTATTTTCTTATTCGAGACCAGCAACCTGTGTGTGTGTGTGTATCCGGTTGAATTACTAATAACTTACATTTTGATGCAAGAAATTGGATTTTTTAAACAGTACACAACGAATAAAAGAGTTTGAAAGCATAGAAAAAGAAGGATTTCGTGTTTTAAACTCGACTTGCGGACTTATTTTAGCTTCAAATTCGGGGATTAAAACGTGCACGTCCCGTTGAAATTTTAATTCAATATTATTGTTACTTTGTTATTATAGAGTATTCTCGAATCACTTTAAATTTGAGATTAATCTCTATTGGATCAAGAGTATTAAGATTAATAACCTCCGAACAAGTATGCTTTCGAATTTGTGTTTTTTTTTCTATGAGACCAACATTATTTCAATATATAAATAATTTTGTTTTAATATTAAAATATAACTCAGTCGTGATTAATGTGATTGTTTGCATAATTTAATCCCCAAAAAATTAAATTGCACGGCAATAGAAATCCATGACAGTTGTTTTCAAGTTGGACTGAAAAGTAAGACTAGGGCCCCTTACGCACATACATAAGGTGCTAACACAGAAGTCTACCTATGACCCCATCACGTTGAATATATATATCCTTATATGGTTCGAACAATTTAATTTCGTTCGGTAAGAAAGGAAAGTAAAATTTCTCAAATATGTTGTTTTTTATAATAGATTTTTTAACACTCAATAACAGACTAACTGTAGTAGTTGAAATGTGTGCATGTGTGCACGCGCGTGAAAGAGAGAGAGAGACTTAGACGCATTAATTGCAAGTTCGAATATATCGGGTTTGTTGATTTATAGGATAAGGTTGAACTTAACAAAATTATATACAAAGTTAACTAGGGCTCGATAATATTTAGTTGGGAAAAAACTATATTGGAGGTAACTGTGCATTCTCTCTGTTTTTAATGTGGTGTTTATGTGGTTTTTCTCTTAATTAAATTATTTCATTTTATTTTTGTAATAATATTAGTTTTATAACTTTATTTCATTAGTATTTTCAGTCTTTATGTAAGCGCTAACAATGTTAATAAAGTAAAATCAAAAATTTAATTAAGGGAAAAAACACATGGTACCCAGTTAAAAATTGAAAAGAAGTATAGGTGCTTTTTTTCATTTTTAGCTGATACTAAACAAAATTAAATATACAGGGGAAGAATCAAAATTATTTCATCAGGAAGTGGACTAATTAAAAGATAAAATATAAAATTTGCGCAAATTAGGAGGAGAATAAATTTAAAAAATAAAAAAATATTTATATATAATACTTGTAAAAAATTTAAAGAAATTATTAAGATTTTAAAGAACGTGATCACAAGAAATCCTACGAGTGTGAACAGTATAAACCCATTTTCCTTTTTAATTTCAAAACTTATTATTGTATGATGCCTATTTCTATTATGAAACTTTTTTTATAATTATATTCCTTTCTTAAAATTCCATAATAATTTTCTCAAGTATTAAAAACTTGGGGGTTACGGATCCTGCGGCCTATGTCCCCTTTTTCGTGCACCACTGCAAGAAGCAAACTTTTAAGTAATACTAGAATCCAACTTTTGAATTGCAAAATAGTACTATCCAAGAAGAAAAATTACACATATGAAGTAATCTCGAAACGAAGTCAAATGTTTGATTCAAATTAATTAGTCAAGCATTAATTGTGGGGGTTGATTTTTTAAAGCGTAAACTGTAAAGAAATTAATAATAGCAACAATAATATAGATTATTGACCAAAAGGAAGGGCACGGATCGAGAGGCTGAAGATGAATATCAACAACCTATGTGCAATGTTCAATGGTTCACAAGTTTCTATTCCCCAAAAAATAAAAATGCAAAGGTTGGCGCAACTTGCAAAAGCTTAATTATATATTCATTCGCTTATCATCATGAGTTGAATTGACTTAAACCCCCGGCATTAAGATAAACTTATAAATTGTGCTTTCAAGGGAGCTCTTGTGTTCTCCATGAGAAATCGATAATATATTACAAGTATTTGTTCAAATTGTTCTGTACATAGTTAATGATGGCATATATATTGTTTTATAAAACTTGCTACGTAAGTTTCACCAAAAAAAAAAAACGCTACGCAAGTCATTGAAATGTCAACATGAGCATCTTGGACTTGTTTATTTGGCCAAAAAAACGTAAGTCTAGTAGAAAATGCAAAAAATAAAATAAAATCAAAACTAGTCACTATCAATTTTTTATATATCAGTAATCACCTTTAACAAACATGGATCATCCTAATCTCAACTGAACCAGATTGCGATATATATATGGCCGCCCACTAGGCACGACATTAATAAATGCACACCATGGGTTAATTTTGTCTCTTTCATGTAGGGACCACAATATTTCCTTAGTAATTAACCCATCATCATCATTAATTTTCAATATCTTGATGCCAAACTAACCCATATGTCACTTTATAAATAAGTGCTCATTAAGAGCTCTCAGAGCACACAAGAACTTCACAACCCTCTGAAAAGAAAACATGAGTTCTTTTGGTGTGTCAGTGGCAGCTCTATGCTGTGCATTGGTGGTGTTGGGAGGAACAATAATATCAGTTTCGTATGGTCAGTTAGATCCTTCGTTTTACAGAAACACTTGTCCAAACGTGCATGCCATTGTAACAGAGGTTGTTTTTAACGCTTTAAGATCTGATACTCGTATTGGTGCCAGTCTCATCAGGCTTCACTTCCACGATTGCTTCGTCCAAGTTTGTGCTTTCTTCATCTCCTTCATTTTATGTTTCAAAAAGTTAATAATACGTACTTGTTTCTGTCACGATGAAGGCATTATTTGGAGAGTAATGCTTCCTTGGCATGGAGTCTGATATTTTTATTTTAGTGAATAGAACTCTTAACAAGCTAGAAAGTAGGATTTTAATAGGTATAAGAGGATGCGTAGATCTCACTGACATTTATACTAATAAAATGGAAGGCATGTACGATATGCATAATTATGTGAGTATGTGATAAAATATGTAAATATTTTGTGTTGGTGGGACAGGGTTGCGATGCATCATTATTGTTGAACAAGACAAACACAATAGACAGCGAGCAAGATGCGTTTCCAAATGTAAACTCAATCAGAGGATTGGATGTCGTCAACAACATTAAATCTGCGGTTGAAGCTGCTTGTCCCGCCACCGTTTCTTGTGCTGATATTCTCTCCATAGCTGCTGAAGTTTCGGTCATTTTGGTACTTTATTTTATATATCTATTTCTCTACGAACAATTATAGCATATATATATATTACCAACTTCGGACGTAAAAAACAACAAATGTACATGTTTTTGAGTCACACGTTTGAAAAATGAATGACAACAGGCGGGTGGTCGGGGATGGGATGTTCCACTGGGAAGGAGGGACAGCACAACGGCCAACAGATCACTGGCCAATACCAACCTTCCTCCTCCCTTCTTCAACCTGGATCAACTCAAAGCCTCCTTTGCTGCTCAGGGCCTCAACACTACTGATCTCGTTGCTCTCTCTGGTATATTGCATATATATCTGTGTGCACTTTTGTGATCTGTGTTTTCTTCTTTTTGCTTAATATTTGGGGTTTACTTTCAGGTGCACACACGTTTGGAAGATCACACTGCAGCAATTTTGTGGACAGATTATACAATTTCAGTGGCACAGGTCAACCTGATCCGACTCTAAACCCATGGTACCTTCAGAAACTGCGTTTGATATGCCCTGAGGATGGAGATGGCACGAACTTGACCAATCTGGACCTGACCACTCCAGACACGTTCGACAGAAACTACTTCATTAACCTTCATTTTAATGCTGGCCTCCTTAACAGTGACCAGGTCTTGTTCTCCACTTCTGGTGCAGACACCATCCCCATTGTCAATAGCTTCGCTTTCGACCAAGGCCTTTTCTTCTCTCACTTTGCTGCTTCCATGATCAAAATGGGTAATATCAGCCCCTTGACTGGTTCTCAAGGCCAAATTCGATCCCACTGTAATTTCGTCAATTCAGATTCCTCTCGATTCAGTGCTGTCGCAGCTACCAAAGGATCTGATGATGCTCTTGTTAGCTCAATCTAAATAACATGATCATGTGTCGATTCATTATATATATCTATGTAGGTGTGTGCGCGCCCCATGTACCTGTGCTTTGTTATGTATGGCCATAATAATTTATTATTATGCCGCTAATAATAATATCAACTTTCGTATGTGTTTGTGTTTTTCATCTTTTGCGCCTTAAGACAAATCCTTAGCTGTGTTTCTTACATATTTAGTTTTCACATGAAAGGAAAGCAAAGTGTGGTGCAGTTAATAATAATTTGATCATGACAAGATGTTGGGTGGGGTAACAGCACAATGCGGATAGAAAGAGTTTGGAAAAAGTGAATTGTATTACTCCCTCCGATCCTATAAACAAACTTCAAATATCCAAATCATGTTAAGTTAAAGTTAGTTAAAAATAATAAATAGATTAAAAATGTATTTTTGTTTTTCAAATTTGTCCTTATTTTTTAAGAGAGTAAATGAGAGAAGCAATAAATGAAAAAATGATGAAAGAGAATATAAGAAAGTAATATTAATAAGAGAGAAAAAGTACTAAATATAATGAACTAAGAACAAAATAGAAAAAAAATAATAAATACTCGAACAAACTAAAAAATGAAACTTATATTTTGGATCATACCCCTCTTAAAAAATAAAGCTTATATATAGGACTGGAGGAAGTACATCTTATTGGTGGGATCAATTTTGGTGCTTATCGCTATGCTACGCTGCGAATCTACCTCAGTAAGATACAATTTCAACAAATCAAATTTTATTTATGTTTTTTAAAAAAATTATGGTTAAAATATTATCTTTATTTTAAATTTTATACACATTAAAATATTAAACTATTAAAATATAAAAATAAAATTATATTAAATTTAGACTGTTCAATTTTGATTTAAATAAAATGAAGAGACTCAATTTATTCATCCACTTTTATATGAATTGAATATTTAACCATTTACATAGGATTTTGGATGGTCCAAATTACATTACAGTGTGCATGTCATTGAGGCGAGCACTAAATGAGGATACGAATACTTATATTTGAAAAACAAATGCTTCTCTAAAAGATGCTGGAGAGGGAGTATTTACTTAAAAGTTAGGTAAGAGTCATGGCATATTAATTAACCAGGTAGATGATAAAATATTAACACAGTCTGAGTCACAGCATATTAAAGTGATAAGGAATTTGGCATGGAATATGGCATCTAAGACGGGTGAATTAGTTAATTAATTAATTAATGGATATATATATTTCAGATTAAATGTATGCCTAACCACTCCCAAAAACTTCGAGGAATGGCCTCCCTAACAGCGACCATCTCTTGTTCTCCACACGCCATCCATCACAATCTCGCATTTGTCAATTTTCCGGATAATCCATGGATGCGCCCAGTGTGTCTGGGATTTTTGCTATTTCAATTAATTTTAATGCAGGAAAACAATGAGAATAACAGAAAATTATTTCAGTTGTAAAAAAAAAAATCACTAATAAACTCCTTTTTTGTGTTTTTCAGATTTATGTGAATTGTTAACTTCATTATATACTCCTCTGGTTCTGTTTATAAAGTAGATAAATAACTTTTTATTTTATTTACAAATCATTTCATTAATTTTTTAATATCAATGTATCATTTCACCCTTTATTAATCATCATGTAAATTGTTATTTTTAAGACAATTAAATAAGAATAAAATTAGAAAATTATTAAATTTTAAGACAATATTAATGAGGTTTAAGATTTTTTTATTCTAATAAAAGATATTGAGAGTGGCAATAAATGTGATAGATGAGATGAGTGAGTGCGTGTGTTGAACACAATAATTAAATTTTATATAGTTAACTTTCGGTTATATATAAATATATTTATATGACAATTGTAAGAATAACTACTTGCCTACCTCAATGACTACGACATGCATCATCATGTAATGCAAGAAAATTTTGTTTCAAACACCACAAGCAACGGCACGTGGCTCCGTATTTTTCCATCTTCATTTTTCTGTCAATCATCTTAGTGTGTCGGCATGTATTTTATATAAATAAAAAATAAGTGTGTACTCATTTAAAATAAATGCTCATATAAAGTAGTATATGATAGAGAAATTTGTTAGAGCTAATTCAGCCAAGAACATCTTACATATATTATTCACAACATCTAAACAATATAATTTATTATAAATTTATATATATATTATGAAGAATGCGGGATCCTTTTTTTCGCTTTAAAAAACATTTAAATCAGTAACAGATAAAGTAATTCAAAATGATATTGAGTATATTGAATGTTAATTGTAGCCTTTTTTTTAATATAATACTACCTCTAATCCCTAATAATAAATATAATATTTTAATCTATTTTATCTTTCAAACTAATAATTTTTTCTTCAAAAATTGACTGTAAAGAATTCTCATCAGAGGTAATTCTATTTATGCACATGATTAAAAAGGGTAATTAAAGAAAGAAAACACGCATTTGTTATAAATAATTAACTTAATTAATTTTTTTAATCTCTTCAAATTATTTATCTATTTTTTAAAAATTAGTTAGAAATACGAAGGTGACTAGATGGTCTGAAACCACACGTCTTCACTGAATAACGTAGTTTTCATCAAAGAGGAAAAAAGTCCGCAATCAAATTTTCAACGTGATAAATAGGTTAGTTTTCAATTTTGTTAAACTTGACTATTCTACGTTGTTGCATTTTGTATAATACTTGCTTGGAAAATTAAACGCCGGGTTTCATGTCTTGCTTTTGATAAAATTTATATCATATATGGAGTTTGTTTGCACCTTTTCAATATTGTTAATTAAATTTAATTTGATATAGAGGCACTTAACAAATATTTATGAACACATATTTATTATGGTGATCCCGAGAAAGTGCTTAGTACAAATGTGCAGTATTTTAGCACTTTCGCTGAAGAGAACGTATGGGATGCTTTAACTTTTTTAAAATAGGGAAAACCATATTGGAGGTACCTATACTTTCTCTCAATTTTTAATTTGGTATCTATGTGTTTTTTTTCCTTTAATTAAACATTTAATTTTATTTTTTTTAGCAACATTAGCTCTTATAACTTTGTTCTATTGATATTTTTAGTCTCTACATAAGGATTAATGATGTTAATAGAGGAAAAATAAAGATTTAGTTAAGAACAAAAAACACATAGGTACCAAATTGAAAATTGAAAAAAAGTATAGGTACCTCCAATATAGTTTTCCCTTTAAAATATTGTATTGAGGCGTAAGTATGTATTTTTAATTACTTAAAATTATATTCCCTCCGTTCCTTATTATAAGAGACAAATAACCGAAATACGTTAATAAAAAAAACAGTTAAAATTAGTTAAGAATAATTAATGTGTAAAAAAGTATAATTTTTTTTCCAAAAATGCCCTCATTAATAAGGAGAGAAAGCATGAGAGAGAACAATTAAATTATTAAAAGAAAAAGAAGTGGGAGGGAGAGAGAGTGTGAGTTGGAGATAATAAATATGGATAAAATAGTAAATCAACACAAAAAGGTAGAGACAACTTGTAAGTGTCTCTTATATATAGGAACATACCATAAACATCAAATGTCTCTTATAATAAGGAACGGAGGGAGTATTATATATTGACAAAAATGTTTGCAATAAAATCAGATGCGACTAATAAAAAAAAAGATAACGAAAATTAAATATATAAATCAAATAAATGGTTTGGCATTTTATATGTAGTAGAGTAGTAGATGATGACGAAGAAAGAATGTCAGAAGAAACTTTAGTTTATTAAATAATGAGTAGTGGCAAAAAAATATTAAAAAATGATTAATGTACAATGTTCCAAGGTAATGAATATGATACGAACAAAACTGGGTCGCATGAACCCTTAATAGAAATTATAAGTATGTCCAATGCATCAATAAATTAAAGACGATCCAGCCGATCGATCGAGTAAGTCAAAAAGTTAGATATTGTAATCTCAGTAGTCATCAACATCTTGTCTTTCTCGATCAGATTCAACAAACTGATAAATAATACATATGAAAAATAGTAGAGTATTTTTTAAAAAATAATCAAAATCTTTTATAGTACGGGCACACACATAAATATTTAAATAATATATATGAAAAAGGGTCGGGTTATGTATCTAATTTTAAGTTGATTAAAGCGTTAATGATTTTTAATGACATCTAATTTGTGTAAAATATTTTATTGCATGATGGAGGAAGACTATTATTTATTTTTCTAATCACCACTTTATTTTTTGGGTGGAAAAAAAAGAAAAGAAAAGGCCTGTGTGGTAAATTAATTAGTGGGGAAGAAGACGAGGCATCTAGAGATGAGCTTCTAGCTGGGGTGGCTACTGAAATGACGTGAAAGAAAAATAATAAAACTGTGGCTGCCACAAACACACACGCAAAAATCCTTTTTTTTTTTAATCCGGCCAAAACACATACTATTCAAGCACTTCAAATTAGACTGAAATATTATAGTCGGTGTGTTCATATTTGCACGCGTCAATATGCTTTTGCAGAGTTTTCCATTTGTCCCGTTGGCATGCACGGTCACCTTCGCCAACTTTCAACTCATTCATTATTCATCCTTTTTCTCATTTCTCTTCTGTTTGTTTGTATATACACTAAACATGAAGAGATCTAGAAGAGCCAGATAAGAGTGTGTGTGTGTGTTCACAATGAGTTAAAGTCAAATGACTGATAATATTAATCTATCGTTTCAAAATAACTACCCGTCCTGTGCTTAATATAAGAACTAATTGTTAAGTTGATTTTGGTTCTAAATATAAAAACTATTTATTATATTTATCAATTTTTTCTAAATTACTCCTATGGATACTCCCTCAATCATAATCAAATAGAAGATGAAAGGAGGATTTTAAAAAAGATGATTATAGTTTTTTAGGAAAAATATGTCATATTTCTTATAATTAACTAACTTACCTAGCTCCTTAATCTAATTAAATTAGTTATATAGATATTATATTAAAGACCAGAAGAATATTGTCCACACACAGTGTTTTCTTAGACCAGATCGATGACCCAAGTGAAGAAGATAATAAGTAATGTGAAGCCACTGAATTGGTTGTATATATCAGATTCAAAGTTGGAAGAAGATATAGACTGGCTTGGTGGAAATAATTAAAGAGATCAATCAATGACGGAGGAAATTAAAGCGGGGAGACAGAATAACTGATGAGCCGGTGAGATATACTCAACTTAAGTACATGGCATTTAATTGACAAATAGATATATTGCAGAGGGCACACGCTTCTTCCGAGAACCTGCTTCCCATGACTTGTGTAGAATCAATCAGCTTTGAAGCAGAGCCCATTAGAATTATATTTCCTCTTATCCATAATATATAAGAAGGTTAAGGCTGTGTTTGGGTGACACCCCAAACTATGGTTTGGGGAATAAATCACCCAAACACCCACCCAAAAACTAAAACTATAGTTTTAGAAAAAGCAAAAAAATTTTGCTTTTGAAGAAAAAAAGGAGAGTGTGAGAGCCTATAAGATATGTGTCTTGTTATTTTTTTTATAAACATATTTTTATATATTTATAAATATATATACATATTAATTATTTATTAATTATATTATCTTATGTATTATTAATTATGTTAATAAAAAATATATTATTAATAATTTTATTCCTTCAAATTAAAATATATCATAAAATCTATTTTTCTGTAATTATCATATTAACTTATGTCTTTTTTTGGTAATTTGTATATATAAAAAGTGCTTCTGATAACAACTATCCAAACACTCTCACTTCTCAAAATCATTTTTTCATAGAATCTATTCTTCAGAATCACTTTTCCAAACCATGATTTGGTTTCATCCAAACACACTCTAAGTCTTCTCGTATACGAAGTTTCTTCGTTAAATATGTCCTAAAATCATAGAAGTTTCATATTTTATTCCTAAAAAAATGACAAAAAGTCCTTTTAATATTACACTTTAATTATCTCTCAAGCTGAAAGTGAAAAATCACATTAACATCGTAGTACAATTGTCTTTTTACCAACGTTTTGGACTGGATGGAGTCCATGGGTGACAACGTGGACGGTTGCTCAGCTTAACGTGTTTTTCACGACGATGAAACTTACCCAAGCGGCACCTACCCTCATCAGGCTGCATTTCTTCCCCCTATTGTTCTGTTCACAAAGTGCGTAGCTTTTCACACTCTCATAACACGAAGAATAATTAATATAATTTTGTGAGCTGAAAATAAATTGTTAATCAATTAAGAAATGTTTTTTGTTACTACAAATTTATAAATATTTAACGCCAAGAGGAGACACTACATAACGCCATAATATTAAAACTGTCAAGTCTTATCTTGATGGTTTTATCAAGTATTGTGTGAAGTCTGCCCCAGAGAAAAGGGCTATACACGTTGGCAACAAATCAAGAACAACATAAAACATTGTTTAACTATAAATATTACCACAACTCAGGTGTAGCACTAGCCATGCCATATGATGTCTGCCCAGTGCCCACACACCTAGCCCACCTTGTTTGACACCTACTGTTTCACCTCAGGCCACCTGGAGGCAATTTAAAGTTAAGAGCGAGCTCCAATCGAAACCTTCCACATACATACAGGGAAAGGTCATTGCTTAATTAGCTGCCTTCTAATTAGTGGGATCAAATTCACCACCTCCCACTTAAGAGAAAGCTATAAAGTCACTGAACTATAAAGCTATTAGCTTCCTTCTATTCTCTGTTCTTCAAAAGCAAGATGATAACAACTATCATAACAAAAAAGCCATTATTCATGAACACCAAATAATAAAGTCTAGCGAAGACAAACATGTCCCTATGCCTAACAGCTACGCCAGCCTAGAGCTAACAACGACATGCGCTGACAATTTTTTAGCCTTTCGTTTACGATATTTTAGTGACCCTGCTCACCGCACTAAAGTCGAATTAGTTACACATCATATGCATTTATTTCTTTAGACCGAACACACACACACGACTATTATTCATTAGCACACCCTTTGAAAAGTCACATGCGTGCATTCCCCAGAGTCTTCATCAACATTTGTACGTACGCAATGGACTTTTCTTTTTCATTTGGTCTCAAGCAGGGCTTTTCCTTTGGGACCACGGGTTTAATTCAGTTTTTTCTTTCTTTCTTTACGTACAGCAAATGAGAGAATAACTTAATCAATTTCTTATCCACCATTAGTATTTCTGGCACTGTAACCCGTTTTGTCCGTCTATAAATAAAGGTCGATCGCAAACAACGACCAGAAACCACAGCCTTGGGATATTTCACACACACAGCACAGAGAGAAAGAAGAGATCGGGGAGAATGGGATCTGTTTGGGGTGCCATACTCGTGGTTCTGGCAGCAATATCTGTGTCTCACGCGCAGCTGAGCCCAACATTCTACAACCAAACATGCCCTAACGTCACCGACATCGTATCTGGGGTTATCCAGAGTGCTGCACAAAGCGATCCTCGTATAGGGGCCAGTCTCATCAGACTTCACTTCCATGACTGCTTTGTTCAAGTATGTTCTATATAATCCACGTTCATATCACTTCATATATCGTATCTCACTTTCAAATCTCTGGCTTTTTCAGTAATTTGGCATCATTATTTCTGGCTTTCCTTAATTCCCGGCTTTAATTTAAAAGTGTGGATGTGCTTCAGAGATTTCTGTGCTTTTGAATGAATGAAATTCTGGATTTTGAAGGCTCAAACAAGTATGGACTCGTACGCACGTAAACTGATTGTGGGGCTCAGCTTCCCCTCGTTTTTCTAGAGGATTATATTTTCTAAGTTAATTCCTTTATAAAATCTAATTTTTTGAATAAGTTTATCTCTTTTTCATAAGATCATTTTTGAGTTTGTCTGAACATTTAATGCATTATTACTTATTTTACTATTAGTTTAATGCATTTAATACATTTTCTATCTTCATTCATCTTACCATTACTATCTCATATCTACCCATTTATATATAGGGGTATATTTGGAAAAAATTACATTTGTTACATATTAATTATTTTTAACTAATTTTAACTATTTTTTTAAACTACGCAATTTAGTTAAAAAAAATCTTATAATAAGGGACGGAGTAATATATAATTATAGTTTATTTTATATATTGGGTGCGGGGTCGTTATATTTGCTTTTAGAAAAGCTCACATCCCGACACTCACATTTATTAACACACGTTAAATTAGGTAATATTGTTTATGTTTTGCATAGCCTTTTTGTGGCCATATGCATACTTCTTTTTGCCATCTACATTATATATAACCTCTAGCTTTATTAGATTATTATGAGTGAAATTTGATCCAGCGGTAATTGTGATGAGAATTTTTTGTTCTTATTATTTTAATTCCACACGTCAATAGTTATTTTAAGTAATAGATTAATATAAAATATAAAATTTATACGCACCAAGTTTCTCCTCTCACAAGTCATATTCTATGTATTGATTCATCATCTTTTTATATTACAAAATGAAACTCTTAATTCTTTGCACTAGTCACTTAATTTTCCATTTAATCCCTATTCTATCACAACAGCTTAAAGGGACTTGGGACTAGTTTAATTTATTTTAAGTGACGTTGTGCTATATATACAAGATAAAACATATGCAAGGAGAATTTTTTCTTATAAAGTTTAAAAATGATATTTTTGAGGGGATGCCAAACACCCACTTAAGATTTTAGTCAATATAATTAAAAAGAAGCTTAAAATTAAAATCATTTTAAAACAAATATTTCTCTATAATTGTACTGGAAACATTCGTACCCCTTGTTCCTCTGGAAAAGAAAAAAGTGGCATTTTTCCGGTCAAAAAAATAAAGGAAAGAAAAAAGTGGCGTTTGGCGTGTGGAGAAAGTTTGGTAGCCAAGAGCATATATGATTAAAAGTTGGACTTTGCTTCTTTTTTGTGAAAAAAAAGTATATAATATTGTTGAATAATTTGAACCCAAACCATGTGATTCAAATTAAAATAAGGATACTTTTATTAGATGAATATTTTACTCAAAGTGAAATTAATCAGCTTTACCTAATCTACCTATGTCTTAGACTTCACTTTAGAGAGTAAGGAATTAAAGTTGAAGGAAGAGACAGATCTTACTACTTTGTTGGACGTACACTTGATAGATAATATTTAGTCAGATGAATTGGCCCCAAAAAAAAAAGAGTTCGATAAAGGAAGTTGCTAAATGACTGAGTAGGAATTCGTGGATGAACTGACAGGGATGTGATGCTTCGCTTTTGCTGAACAACAGTGCCACCATTGTAAGCGAACAGACAGCTCCAGGCAATAATAACTCGATCAGAGGACTGGATGTCGTCAATAATATCAAATCTGCCCTCGAATCCTCTTGCCCCAACACTGTTTCTTGTGCTGATATCCTTGCCATTGCTGCTCAAGTCTCTGTTGTCCTGGTATTTATACCTTCCTCTCCTCCAACTCAATTATATATGTTCATGCAGAATTAAACTCTAAGTAGTTTTCTGTGCACCTCGTCCAGTACTTTGAGCTACTTCGTGATTCATCTAGTTGGGTAACTAAAATATTATTTTTCCAAGTGCACTCAACACCTTAATATTTTAAAAGCAAAATTACACCTTAATATGGGATTGTAGTTAGTTAAGATGGTTGATCGATATTTGCAAGATTAGTTAATTTGAAGGTGACTTGAACAGGCAGGAGGGCAGTCGTGGACAGTTCAGTTGGGAAGAAGGGATAGCCTAACAGCAAACCTAAGCCTCGCTAATTCTAACCTTCCTTCACCTTTCTTCACCCTCGACCAACTCAAGCAAAATTTCTCGAATCAAGGCCTTGACACCACTGATCTTGTTGCCCTTTCTGGTATATATATGTTCTTCTTTCATCACTCCCCAAATTAAACTCTCTCAATTATTCCTCCTGATACACACACACACACATCTGATTCTTCTGAGATATCTCATTTGTGTATATGTGTATTTTCAGGTGCTCACACATTTGGAAGAGCTCAGTGCAGGTTCTTTGATAACAGACTGTACAATTTCAGCGGCGGCAACCCAGACCCAAACCTCAACACAACCTACTTGGCCACATTGCGCCAGTTATGCCCACAAAGTGAAGTAGGAAGAAACACGAACCTCACAAATCTGGACCTGACCACCCCTGATATCTTTGACAAAAACTACTACTCCAACCTCCAGCTCAAGAATGGCCTTCTTAACAGTGACCAGGTCCTGTTCTCTACTGCTGGTGCTGATACCATTGCGATTGTCAACAATTTCAGCGCCAACCAGACAGCTTTCTTTGAAGCTTTCGCTGCTTCCATGATCAAGATGGGCAATATCAGACCTTTGACTGGCTCCCAAGGTGAAATTCGAACGCAATGTAATATGGTTAACGGAGCATCATCAGGATTAGTGGGTGTGGCTTCTGCAGAATCACAGGACGGTTTGGTTAGTTCAATGTAATTAATTACCACTGCGTCCTGGGAGAGAAGAAAGTATTGGCATAAATAAACAAGTGGATCGCGCTTGTGAGCATGTATTTTGGTGCTTTGTGTGTGTGTGTGTGTGTGATGTATTGACGAGTGATACATTTTCTTCGTTGTAAAGACTGTTAATTGAGTTATCACTGTGCCTTGGGAGAGAAGCAAGTATTGGCCTAAATTAATGTATATGCCTAACCACTCCCGGCAACTTCGAGGAATGGCCTCCTTAACAGCGACCATGTGTTGTTCTCCACACGCCCTCCATCACCATTTTCAACCTCACATTTCTTAATTTTCCGGATAATCCATGGGTGCGCCCAGTGTGTCTGGGATTTTTGCTATTGCAATTAATTTTAATTCAGGAAAATAATGAGGGTAACAGAAAATTATTTGAGTTGTGAAAAAAAAACTAATAAACTCCATTTTTGTGTTTTTCGCGTTTATGTGAATTGTTAACTTAATTTTATACTCCTCTGATTCTATTTATAAGGCAGATAAATAAGTTTTTATTTTATTTACAGATCACTTCATTAATTTTTTAACATTAATGTATTATTTCACCCTTTATTCATTATCATGTATTTTGTTATTTTCTTAGAAAAATATATATTAAATAAGGATAAACTTAGAAAATTATTAAATTTTAAGACAATATTAATTAGGTTTCAGATTTTTCTTGATTTTAATAAAAGACACTGAGAGCGGCTATAAATATGACAGATGAGTGTGTGCGTGCGCGCGTGTGTTGAACACAATAATTAATTTTTATATAGTTAACTTTCAGTTATATATATAAATATATTTATATGACAATTGTAAGAATAACTACTTGCATACCTTAATGAGTACGACATGCATCATCATCATGCAATGGAAGAAAATTTTGTTTCAAACATCACAATCCACGGCACGTGGCTCCGTATTTTTCCATCTTTATTTTCTTTCAATCATCTTAGTGTGTCGCCATGCATTTTATATAAATAAAAAAAATAAGTAATTCAAATTTATATATAATTTATTATAAATTTATATATATATTATGAAGAATGCTTGGGATCCTTTTTCCCTTTAAAAAGCATTTAAATCAGTGATAGATAAAGTAATTCAAATTGATATTGATCATATTGAATATTGATTTTAGTGTTTTTCTAATATATAATACTACTTCCAGTTCTTAATATAAAAACTAATTGAGAAATCACTTTGATCCTAAATATAAGATCTTAATCCACTTTGTCTTTTAAATTTATAATTTTTTCTCCAAAATGTCTTTATTGATTATAAGGAGTTCTTATCAAAAAGTAATTCTATATGCACATGATTAAATAGGATAATTAAGAAAGGTCAACGTATATTTGTTATAAATAACGAATTTAACTAATTTTCTTAATCTCTTTAAATTATTTATCTAGCTTTAATTTTATATTATCAAAAATTAGTTAGAAATACGAAGGTGACTAGATGGTCGAAAGCACACGTCTTCACTAAATAACGTATTTTTCATCAAAGGGGGCAAAAGTCAGCAATCAAATTTCAAATTGATAGATAGGTTAGTTTTCAATTATGATAAACTTGACTATTCTACGTTGTTGCATGTTGTATCATACTTGCTTGGAAAATTAAAAGGTGGGCTTCATGTCTTGCTTTGGATAAAATTTATATTATATATGGAGGTTATTTGCAACTTTTCAATATTGTTAATTAAATTTAATAGATGTAGAGGCACTTAACAAATATTTATGAACACGTAGTCTATACTATGGTGATCCCAAGAACGTGCTTAATACAAATGTGCAGTGTTTTAGTACTTTCGCTGAAGAGAAAGTATAGGATGCTTTAACTTTTTTAAAACAATGTATTGACGCATAAATGTGTATTCTAATTACTTAAAATTATACCATATATTGACAAAAATGTTTGTAAGAAAATCAGATGCGATCAATATAAAAAAAATGATGACGACACTTAAATATATAAAATATATAAATTAAATAAATGGTTTGGTATTTTATATATAGCAGAGTAGTAGATGATGTCGAAGAGAGAGTGCCAGAAGAAACTGTAGTTTATTAAAGAATGATTAGTGGAAAAAATATTAAAAAATTGATTAATGCACAATCTTCCAAGGTAATGAATATGAAACGAACAAAACCTGGTCGCATGAACCCTTAATAGAAATTATAAGTATATGCAATGCATCAATGAATTAAAGACACTCCAGCCGATCGACTCAGTCAAAAAGTTAGATACTGTAATCTCAGTAGTCGTCAACATCTTATCTTTCTCAGATTCAAGGAACTGATACATAACATATATGAAAAAGAGAATTGTTTTAACCAACATCTTTTGTACGTACGGGCACACACATAAATATTTAAATAATACTCCCTCCGTTCCTTATTATAAGAGACAAATAACCGAAGTACGTTGATCAAAAAAATAGTTAAAATTAGTTAAGAACAATTAATGTGTAAAAAGTATAATTTTTTTTCCAAAAATGCCCTCATTAATAAGGAGAGAGAGCGTGAGATAGAACAATTAAATTATTAAAAGAAAGAGAAGTGGGAGGGAGAGAGAGTGTGAGTTGGAAATAATAAATATGGGTAAAATAGTAAATCAACACAAAAAAGTAGAGACAATTTGTAAGTATCTCTTATATATAGGAACATGTCATAAGCATCAAATGTCTCTTATAATAAGGAACGGATGGAGTATATATGAAAAAAGGTTGGGTTAGGTATCTAATTTTAAGTTAATTAAAGCGTTAATGATTTTAATGACATTTAATTTGTGTAAAATATTTTGTTGCATGATGGCGGGAGACTATTATTTATTTATCTAATCACCACTTTATTTTTTGAAAATTTAAGGCCTATATGGTAAATTAATTAAGGAAAAATTACTGTAGAGTTCCAAGTAAGAGATTTTATCACTGTAACAGAACAAATACTTCCCGCTCGAACTTGCTATCCTTCATATCAACCTATCATAATCACTTGTCATTGACAAGTCATATAGTTAGATTGACAGCCTTCGATGTATCCATTAACAATACATTTAACTATTACATTACATGGGTTATAACAATAAAAAAACTGTCGTATTCATTTATTTTCAGCAGAAACAGAGCATCAATGAGCAAAAAAAAAAAGAGCATCATTTTATAACCCACAGAATGAGAAGCGAAAAATAGGAAAGTTAGTAGTGACAATGAAAAGCAATAGGCGTGAGGTAAAGACAGAGTCATACAGGCAAGTAGCAGAGCAGAATATCACAGTCAAAGAGATGAGAGGCGATAGGGAGAGAGGCGAGATGCAACGGAGTTGTGTGAATGAAAAAGAAACTCTCACATGAAAAAGAAACTCTCACATGTTCCTTCAATGTTTTCTTTTAAATGAATGAGGGTAATGTTATGATTGTATAATTGAAATCTTTCACAAAGTCTCTTGAGATTTCAAATTTATTTTAACATTTTCAGAGACTCTATAATGATAAAATCTCTTACTTGGACTCTACAGTAATTCTCCCATCAGTTAATGTGGAAGAGGATGAGGCATCTAGAGATGAGCTTCTAGCCGGGGTGGTTACTGAAATGACGTGTGAAAGAAAAATAATAAAAATGTGGCCGCATGTACTATTCAAGCACTTCAAATTAGACCGAAATATTTAGTCGGTGTGTTCATATCTGCATGCATCAATGTGCTTTTGCAGAGTTTTCCATTTGTCCCGTTGGCACAGTCACGTCCACCTCAACTCATTCATTATTCATCGTTGGTTTCATTTATCTTCTCTTTGTATAGAGAGAAGAGAGAGAGAGTGCGCGTGTGTTTTAATAATAATCTCTTCTCAAAACATCAAAAGTTATTGAATTTTTAACCACACTCCATCCCACAATGAGTTAAAGTCAAATGACTGATAATTCTACATTTGATTTTTAATATAAGACATAGTTAATTAATTTAAAAAGATTAAAAAAATTAATTAAATTAGTTATTTATTATAAATAAATATTTTTTTAAAATATCCTTATCAATTATATATATCTTTTGGTAAATTTATTAATTATATATATTAATTAGAATTACCATTTGATGAAACCTTTAACATGTAAAACTACTATAAAAACTATTTTAAAAAAATAAATAAATGTAAAAAACAAAATAAATCAGGTTCTAATATTTAAAATTAATCTATCATTTCACAATAACTATCGTCTAGAATCATACCACACGGTACACGCAGTGACCAGACCAGATCGATGACCCAAATGAAGATAATAATTAATGTTAAGCCACTAAATTTGGTTGTATCAGAAGATTTTTTTTTTTGGGGACCTTGGATGCTTGTATCAGAAGATAAACACTGGTATTTGGTAGAAATAATTAATTAAATAGATCAATCAATGACGGGGGGAAATTAAAGCAGTGAGACAAAAGAGCTGATGAACCGATGAGATATAATCCCTCTGTCTTTTATTATAAGATTCACTTAACTATATTCCGGTTTGAGAAAACTGTGAAAATTAGTTAAAATAGTAAATATGTTAAAAATATACTTTTTTTTTCTAAACATGCCCTTATTTATAAATGGGTAGGCGTGAGTGAGAAAAAAATAAGAGAGAATGTAAGGGAAAAAGATAATGAGAGAGAGTATATTAATTAAGAATAATATGGGTAAAAAACATTTATTATTTAGACAAATCCAAAAAAGATATTATAAATAAGGATGCACTAATTTAAAAATTGGATCTTATAATAAGGGACGGAGTAATACTTGAGTCGAGTACTACTTCGTCTCTTATTATAATATCCAATTTTTTGAATAGATCTATCTTTTTTTATAAGATTCTCTTTGAATTTGTCTGAACATTTAATACATTATTATCCATTTTACTTCTAATTTAGTGCATCTAATGTATTCTTTTTCTTTATTTATCTTACTATTACTCTCTCACATTTATCATTTATAGATAGGGGTATATTTAAAAAAAATTTATTTGCTACATATTAATTTACTTTTAACTAATTTTAATTCTTTTGTTAAACAGTATAATTTAATTAAAATGATCTAAGGAATGGAGAGAATACAAAGCATCATTAATAAACAAATAAATACATTGCAGAGGGCACACGTTTCTACAGATGTGAAACCTGCTTCTCCCAGGACTCGCATTGGTCAATCAGGTCTGGAGCAGAGGCGACTAGGATTACTGGTGATCGACGAGAACGCTTGCTCATCCTAGTCCAACGTTTT